GCAGCGCTGGAGAAGAAGGAGGCCCTACCTTGCGGGGGGGGGGGAGCCGCGGCCCCTGCGCAGGCCGAGCCGTTCTCACTGGCCTCAGCCCGGCCAGCAGGACCAGCTCGAGAGGGTCGCGGAGCTCCTGGAGGAGCTGCTCTCCTCTGAGGGGAAGCAGGGCGGGGATTTCGCATTGGTGTTTCTACAAGAAAATATTTTTCTAAAACTTCCGCTGCCTTGCAATCAGGGGCATCGTTTTCCAGTTCTAATCTAACCGGTTCCCTTGACTACGTGTTGAAGTTCAGACTTTTAGGTGGAAAATGTATCATGTGTGAAGGGTCCTGGGCCCACCTCCACTCCCGGGGCCTCGGCTAGAAGTGCCCCAAGTGCAAGGCAGGCCTTGGGGGCTCCACCTCCCCGGCTGGTGTGTGGGGCTTACCTCCGAGTAGACACGGGCTGGACTGCACTGCCGACTCCTCTCCGCCTCCTGCTCTGGGGCAAAGGGCCCTGATCCAGTGAAAGGCCAGTGGGGGGGTTGCCTTCTGCCACCCCCGCATTTTGCAAACCCTGTGTCCCCCTGCGGGGAATTCAACGAGGAGAGGGGAGTCACCGTTCGCTCAGGAATCTTGCGTTGAAGGGCTGTTTGGAAGCTCCTGAGGGGGAATTGCCAGACCCCGCAGGACAGGCGTTTAGTTCCAGGTGGAAGCATCAGATCTTGGTTTGTACATCATCGCTTTTGGTTCATCCTGGTTTGCCTTCATTTGTGGCCAGAGGGCTTGAGTTTCCAAGCGACAGGCGGCCTGAGCTCCGGAGGCTCGTTCGCATTCTGCTGGGCTGGCTTGGCGGGGGGAGCAGAGTCGGAGCCCCGGGGCCGAGGGTGGCGCTGCAGCGACCTTCGGGGGCCGTTGGAAATGCCTGCTTTTGCTTGTGCGCTTGTTTCTCCCGTTCACCCTCCTCCCACCGCATCTCCGTCCCCCCCATACCTTGCAGACAACACTTCCCGCCTAGGTGTGGGATTGTCTCCTCCCTGCTGGGAGGGCAGAGCTGCTCCCGCTGCTGGGGGCCAGGCTCGGCCTCGGAGTCCGGGCAGGGGGCGTCACGCCAAAGCGAGCTCAGGTGCCCGGAGTGGGCGGGGCCAGAAGACCTGCGCTGGACTTCATTGACT